AGGCCAAGAAGGCCACCCCGGAGGCCGCCAAGAAGGCGCAACAAGCTCCCCGAAGAGCCCCAAGACGCCCATGAGGGCCTTTTGAATTCAGCCGCAGCTGAGTGAGTGCCTTATCGATTATCGGCCACAAGTGCGCTGCGCTTTCACAACAGTCGGCCACGCTCCTCTCAAAGGCTGGGGGCGGAGATGACTCGCCGTAGGCTTCTTCGATACTCTTCCTCATGCTCCTCGTCGTTATTATTATCTTTACTCTTCACTCGTCACTCCCCATCTCTCCTCCTTCTTCTCCTCCTCCTCCCCCTCCTCCTCCTCCTCCTCCTCATCCTCCTCTCTTCTTCCTCCTCCTCCTCAACTCTCCGCACTGTCACCGCTCCGATTCCTGCATCTGCCTCCTTCAGTTCCTACGCCCTCACCCTCCTGCATATTACTCCTCGCCTCCTCTGTCATCTCACATTTCTCGTTGAAAGTAGCTCCACGGCGTCCCTGGGGGAGGCCATAGAACGTCTACAGCATACCCAAGATGGCCCTGAGACGCCGTCGACACCCTGAGCTTCTGGATTGTCGTCCAAGCTAGCTAGATCTGAAGCCCGCGCGAAGCCCGCGCTATGGTATTGTTCTTCATTTCGGATGACTCTTGGTATGACGCCGCCAGTCGCATTAGGAGAAGGGAGGAGCAGGAGGAGGGTACCCCCAGCGAGGCGGAGCTGGCCCTGGCGCTGGAGGACCTGGAGACGGCCCGCCAGACATGGCCTCGATGATGAACGATCCAGACATGATGAAAGCCACAGAGGAGCCTCGCGAAGAGGGAGGAGGAGAAGGAGGAGGAGGACCAGTGTGAACCCAAACCCATCAACGATACTGTAATGATCCCTCTCTCCAGGTTCTCGATTCACAGGCCCCATACAAGGGTTCATTTTCATTGAGGGAAGTGCCCCGTTGGAAGACAACCGTTTGAAAATACGAGCTGTGCCAGAACACCATTATTGAGAACTCAACGCCGCCAAGCATCGTTAGTTTTGCGTCTTGACGATTCCGAATAGCGCTAAAACGCCATTCTTGGGATTTCAGCACCACGAATCAACGCGACTGTTGCGGCCCGACAGTCCGACATCGTGCCAAAACACCATTTCTGGGACGTAACCAGGAGAACTTTTGAAATTGCTGTAAATTCTTAATACGGAAGTGCGCGGCGCCCAGGCGAGAGCCACATTTTGAAAACAAGCAGCCCCCCATCCTCCAAACTCTTGCCCGCTGGACAGACAACCATATTCAGCGCTAAGGCGAGAGTCGCATTTTGAAAACGGCCCGCCCTCCATCCGTGAAGCTCTAGCATTATTCTAAGAGGAAAATGGGCGGCGCTAAAGCGAGCGCCACATTTTGAAAGCGAGCCGCCCTCCATCCGTCAAATTGTTAAAGCTTCAGGATCGTAAAATGTGAGACAGTCCCCGGCGAAACGCCCAGCCCGCCCTTTCGACCGGCCCCAGGGTGCGACATGGAGGAGTTATTTCCAAGGAAGAGGGATGGAGGAGGAGGAGGAGGAGGAGGAGGAGGAGGAGTACCAGTGTAAACCCAAGAGCCAGCAACGGTGTTGGAATACACCCTCCTTCCAAGCTCCCTCTTCATAGGCCCCTACAACAGTTCATTTCCATTGAGGGATCTGCCTCGTTGGAAGACAACCGCTTGAAGACCCGGAAGCATGCCAAAACATTGTTCTCGGGATTCCAACGCCACAGATCAACCTGACCGTTGCGTCTTGACGATCTTAGATCGTGCCAGAACGCAATTCTTAGGATTCCAACACCGCGAATCAACGTAACCGTTGCACCTGCAAAGTCCTGAATCTCTCCAAAACGCAATTTCTGGTACGTTGATCGTGGGAATCCGTGAAGCTCTTGCCATTTTTTAGGAACGAATGCGCGTGGCGCTAAGGCGAGAGCCACGTTTTCAAAAGGAACCGCCCTCAATCCGTGAAATTCTTGCACATGCTTAGAAAAGAATATGCGCGGCGCGAAGGCGAGAGCCACATTTTGAAAACCACCCGCCCTCCATCGGTGAAGCTGTTGCCAATTCTTGCTTCAGAGTCATGAATGGTGAAGACGTCTCAGGCGAAACGCCCGGCCCGCCCTAAAGACTGGCCTCGGGGTGCGACAGGGAGAAGTTGCTTATAAGGAAAAGAAATGTAGGGGGAGGAGGAGGGGAGGAGGAGGAGGAGGAGGAGGACGACGACGACGACGACGAGTCGAGCACGAGGAGAAGGAGGAGGGGAAGGAGGAGAAGGAGGAGGAGGAGGAAGAGGAGGAGGAGGAGGAGGAGGAGGAGGAGGGAGGCCGCGTTCGACGAACACTCCGGCCGTCAAGAAGCAGGAACCACGAGGACGAGCAGCAGCAGGATAATGATGAACCAGGCCTTCTGAGTCTGGGTGTTTTTGTTACCTTCTGGGGCCGCAGGAGGCCTCTGGGGACCTCTTGAGACAGAGACCTCCAGAGATTCCCGTAAACGCGCGAAGGAGGTCCTGTTGCTGCAATGGCTCCCGCTGCCGATCCTCCCCCTCGTCGGCGGGGGGTCCAGCGTCAGGGTCTCGCTTCTCTTTCTTTCCATTCCCCCTCCCTCCCCCGACCTCCCCCTCCTTCCTCCATCTTCCCTCCTCCGTCATTCCTCTCTTCCTACCCGCCCATCGTTTCCTCCTTTGTGTACCTCGTCCAGGTTTCATCGCCGCGCCTCGCACTACGCCCCCTCGCTCATCCCCCCTTCCTCCCCCGTTCACTCTTCACTCCTCCCTCCTCCCTTCCCACTCCTCCCTCCCTCTTTGTCGTCGTCGCCCTCGTGCTTCATATCCCCTTTCTCCGTGGAGAGGGGGGCTCACGGGCACGGACTCTTCCTGGTCCGCACGAGGACATGATGAAGAACATCTCGCCAGAGATGCTGCAGTCCATGATGTCTCCGGAGATGCTGCAGTCAATCTCCAAGAGCAGCGGCGTCGAGATCGACGAGGGGAGGGCCAAGACCATTGCCAAGGTCTTGCCCTGGGTGCTGCCCTGGCTGATGCGGTTCATGCGCTGGTTCAGCTACCTCAGAAAGGTCTGGTCATCCTCGTGGGGCCCTCAGACTTCCCGGCCTGAGACCTCCAGAGGCCTCTCGAGGCCGAACAGAAAACAGAACGTCCAAGCACCTCGATCCTCTATCGTCGAACCTCGAGCCTCGGCGACGACGACGACGCCGGCGATGACGGACGACGACGACGGCGACGGTGACGACGACGACGACGAGGACTACGACGACGACGACGACGACGACGACGACGACGGCGACGGCGACGGCGACGGCGACGGCGACGGCGACTGCGACGGTGGCGACGACGACGGCGACGACGGTGACGACGGCGGCGACGGGGGTTCCGAGATAACTGGCGAGCGCAGTGGGGCTTGATTCGGGGGAAGTTGCTGACATGGCCAATTTGGTTTCGGGGCCTTTCGATTCGGCCGCGCGTGCCGATGTGCGCGCGGCATCGATCCTATGCATCGATGATGCGGGGACATCCGTGGCCCGATTCTCTCGCCATCCCGATGCATCGGCGATGGAGCGCAATCGTCCGACGCCATCTTCTCCGGCCCCATACGGGCGGCCTTCAGTATCGAGACGGGGTGGATGCTGACGGGGTCAGCCAGAGCGCAGTATCCTGCGGAGCCAGGGTGCACTGACCCGGGCTTGGGCACAGGATCCTGAAGGATCCTGGAGGATCTTCCAGAGAGAGAGAGAGACAAAGCTGAGTGCGAAGCACATGAGCACAAATGCCGTGGCCTACCAATGCGTCGCAATACCGCTTCACGGTTGCGCGCCAGGCTGCGGCAGAAATTACGCTATCTTGCCAGAGCAGCGGCAGGGCCTCCTCACCCCCCGCGGCCCGGACAGCGTGCGCAAAAACAGCTTCGATCCAAGTTTTCCGGGGGCGCCCCCGTTTTCGCTTGAAGTTATGTGCTATAAGCTGGCATGACAAAGGGCGTAGGACCAGGCAACGGACCGGGTCATCAGCTGGCTTCCGGGCAATATGCCCCATGAGCAGCAGCTGACGATTCAGCAAAGTATTGCTCAGTGGGGCAGCGCCTGCTTGCTCCAACACACTTGAATTTGTTACGCGGCTAATGTACGAGTGAGGTATGCGAAGTATCTGCCTCAAGCATCTCACGTGGAATGCGTCGAGCTTCTTCGTCTCCGCCTGGTTCAGGAAGGCCGTGTGCAGACAATACAACAGTTTATTGAGAATGCAAGCGTTGAACACCTCCAGCTTCCTTGACTGCGTCAGCGTGGAATGGCCCCACACTCGCTTCAACTTGTCGAATTCCGCCCGCGCGGCACCAAGTCGGCGGGAGAGTTCAGGGCCTGCAAAACCTGACCGACCTGGGTTTGGATTGACCCAGGTGTTAGTAGATCCCCAGAGACTCGCATGCGGCACAGCTCGGTGTTGATGGATTCCTCCCCAAGGACGACTCCACTCGTTCCACTGTCGGGGCTGTGTTCGATATATTCGGTCGTGCACATGATCTGGTCGGTGTGCCATTGTGGGCAGCGGGCGGGCAGCCCTCGGGATCCATCTCTGCTTCAAAGTCGTCTCAGCGCGTGCTCTCTCCGCTACGCCGGGCCCGCTTGAATTTTTATGCTGGGGCTGCGGCCAGGGATCCAGGAGAGGGCACGGGAGAGAGGGAGGAGGAGAAGGAGGAGGAGGAGGAAGAAGAAGAAGAAGAAGAGGAAGAAGAGGAGGACGAGGAGCAGGAGGAGGGGGAGGAGGAGCAGGAGGAGGAGGAGGAGGAGGAGCAGGGGGAGGGGGTCAGGGAGGGGGAGGAGGGAGGGGAGGAGGGAGGACGAGGAGAGGGCCTACTCCCCCCTTCCTCATCTCTCCCCTCTCCCGATCCTCGTCGTACGCCTGAGTCGGGCGTGCCCCTCAACAGTAGGAATATTCCAATAGTACAACAACAGTCTGGGGACGATTTTTGCTTATTTTTGAG